GGGGAGGGGGGAGGGGGATAACATCTGAAATGTAAATAAAATATCCAATAATTTTTTTTAAAAAAAGACACTTTCATAGCATGCCTTAGCATTTACACTATACATTATTATAGTTGCTGAAATTAAAATATTATAACTAATATGCCTGCTACTAAGTTGCTTGTCTTGCAGTGCTGTCACACACAAACACAAGCCTTGATCATGGTTGGCAAATGCCCTTTTATCAAGTACACCCTCAGCATTTCATATTTCAACATTCACTGATTACATCATTTCCCTTCCACTGAGGCACTACATCACGGTAATTGGAAACCTGGATTTTGGGGTCAGGCAGTCTGAGTTCTAATCCTAGTTTCACTGTGCATTGCTAATGTGACTGTGAGTTAATTATACTTCATATGCCTCAGTATTGTCTTCTGTAAAATGAAATGGTAATAAAAATACCTACTTCATAAAGTTATCAAGACAAAGCAAGGCGAGCTGAGTGTGGATGTACATGGCAGTAGCTCCAGCACTCTCTGATGAGGCAGGAATCATGACTTTTGGGTCAGCCTCGGCTGTGTAAGACCCTGTCTCAAAACACAACAAACAGAACTTCCTGTACCCATAATGAGGGAAACAATCTGCTCTATTTTTTTAAGCCACTGAAATTATAGCATTATTTGTTTGATAAGAACTCTAAGTAGAAGAGGAAGATAAGGCAAGAGTGCAGCTATCAAAAAAGAGTGTCATTCTTCATGAAATCACATGTCAATTAATCCAGGGGGTCAAGGCAGAAGGAAGATATGAAGTCAATTTGGGTTGTGTTAGAAAATACTGGCTAAAAGTAATTTTTAATGATTAAATAAGTTAAGATTTGTAAAGTGTTTTGAATACCAACTTGTATATAGTATAGTAAATGTAGCAAATAAACATCATATAGTGATCCTTTAGTTTCCACATCTCTTACATGTTTTGTAAATTCTGGTAAAACCTAGCATTAAAATGTATCTATAGAAAATGTTTGGTATTTGCTAATTACAGCTTTTTAGGAGAAAATGAAATGGGGCTCTTAAATATCTAGAGACCTAGAATTTATGATATAAAAATGGGAATTAGTATAATGTATAACAGAGAAAAGGGATTGTTTGTGAGCTGAAGGAGAGCAGTTTTATAATAATTTTATTTACAAGCTTTCAGTCATTTGGCAAATATAATACTACATAAACACATATTTATAGTATAAGAATAAATCTACCTATTTTTTTCTGTTGCAAAGAAGTTTATTTATGGTGCCCAATGAAAGGAAAATAGAATTTCTGGTATAAATTCAGTGAGTGTTCTACGTAGTTTTCCATGGGTGGAACTTTGCGTTTAATACTAGTATACAAAAATATACGTGCATTCCTGATCTGATGTTCTAGCCTGTGACCTTAGGAGGGAAGTCAAGGTAAAGGATGGGAAACTGAATGGTAAAAATCAAAGTCTTTTTTTTCTTAGCATTTGAAGTGTTTAAATGTGTAATATTGAGTATCATTAATTGTAAAAAGCTTGGTGACAAACTACGTGACACTATAGCTAATGATTTCTGTGTTAAAAAGATATAAAATGCATTCTAAAATACTCTATGGGATCTGTCTGAGTATGACTTCTTACAAAGTGAGATTAAGTGTACCTGGACTTAAAACTTGAAAAAACTGATTGATGTAAACATCTCATTAAAAGATTTTCTTTCTAGCTGGGCAGTGGTAGCGCATGCCTTTAATCCCAGCACTTGGGAGGCAGAGACAGGCAGATTTCTGAGTTTGAGGCCAGCCTGGTCTACAGAGTGAGAGTTCCAGGACAGCCAGGGCTACACAGAGAAACTCTGTCTAGAAAAACAAACAAAGATTTTCTATATCTCATTTACAGTGGATCATTGTGAGCTCCCTGGCTCATTTTTCAATGATTAAAAAAAAAAATCTTAAAAGTGAGTAGTCTTAGGGGGGAAACACTAATTCTATTCAACATCTCTCGGAAGAGTTTGGAAAAGATCAGTTTTTATAGTTGGCAGCCATTGAAATGCCAGAAAGCTAATCATATGGAAAGAATGTGACATTCTTTAAGCAAGAGAGTAAAAGGAATGCCAGAGATCAGGAAATTTAAGGAACTAAATTTCAGGGGGAAAATGAGCCAGGGTTTCCTTTTGAAGTGGTAAAGATATTCTAAAATTAGGTTGTGGTGATGGTTGCATAACTTTATGAATAAACTGAAAGCCACTGAAGTATATATTCAAAGAGGTAAAATTTATAGTATATGAATTCTGTCTCAATTTTGGGTGGAGGAGGAAGTGGTGGTAAGGCTCCTTAACTTGGAGTAGGAAGACAACCAATAGGAGAACATTTGTGAACAGGTTCACCACAGTAGCAGTGAAATGTGTTACATGTAGGAAGAACAGACTAGGAATAGAGGCCTACTTTCTTAATATGCTAGGAAGAGAATTTTTCTTTTGGGCAAACCCTAGGACTTCGAGAACTCACTGAGAAGTGTGTGTTGATATATGTATATACAAATACTGCTTTGCAGATCCTGCTAACTGTTCACTGAGCATGTCATGGAAGGAGTGATAACCCAGAAGCAATTGGCATACCTAGTATATAGCTCTTGATGTAAATGCCTTTTATCTCTAAGAAAAACAAAGGCTTCTGAAGAGATTGTCTAACTCCATAGCTGGGACTGTGAGAATACCAAATGAATCTGAAAAGTTGTGTGCCATAGAACTGCTCAAAACATGGCAAGAGTATGTTAAAAGGCTATAAGAGCCATTGTTTACCCTAGCAAAATCTAAAACAATTTGAACTAGATAAATACTGACAACAACAAATTATAACTCATTGTGTAAGATAGGAATCAGTGAAATGGATAGATGAGTGGAGAAAAGTCACTATTTGAGAAAAATGACAGTAATTAATTTAACCAGGAAACATTAATACTCAAAATAGCAAAAAATCATTGAATAAGAGTTAGACATTTATTTATATACCACTGTTCATAGGAATTATTCACTTTAGCAAAAAGCTGGAAACAACTGTCCAGATGCCAGCAACAGATGAATGAATGAATACTATTCCATTAAAAAGGGATGATATTCAGATACATGTTACCACATAAAGAACCCTGAACTAATTATGCTAATTGTATAAGCCAGACCCTAAAGAACAAACTGCTGTATGATTTTGTTTAAACAAGTGCCTAGGATTGGCAACTACACCAAGGAAGTAGGTAGAATGGAAGTCACTGGGGGCTGGGAAAGGGAGAGGATGGAGAACATCACTGTTTAGTGTAACTGTATTTTATGGGGACAATGAAAAGTTCTAAAAGTGAAGAGTGACTGTGGCAACACAACATTGTGTGTGTGTGTAAAGACACTGAACTATAAACCACCTAGAGTCTAAAGGAAATTCCGTATTTTTCACCACAAAAATATAATAAGAAATGGAACATTTTATGTAAATTCAGTCTTTCCATCAGAATACTTATTAAATGCAAAGGGGGAGAGTATAACTTTAAAATAGAAAAACCTGGTTAGACACTGGCATAATCAAGTGATCCAAGCAACACAGCAATACTTTTTTTTTGATATTCCTGCCCCAAAATACATAACCTGGATTGAATCAGAGGTAAATTGAGAAACATTGTACTAAAACTAGACTGTACACCTTATAAGAGTCAAGATCATGACTACTAACATTAAAGAACTGCTTCAGATTCTTAAAAATGAGCTGATAATTGAGTTATGTAACCCTTAAATGGCTCCTTCTGCTCTAGAGCATGCCACCAAGCCAGGACTCAAGCGTGGGTTCAGCCTGGGGTAAAGGTCAGAGTAATGTGAAGGGTTAGGATTCTGATTTCTGAGCTGGACTGTGACTTATCAAGAGAATGTGTTTATAGGAAATGAATAGCCTTGGAGGATGAGAAGAAACCTGTAAGTTTCATATGGTTAAAAAGAAACATGTGTACTATTTTGAAACTTCATCAAAGGTTGAAATTACTTCAGAATGTAAAAGGACTTAAACAACTGTTTAAAAAGCAAAACAATATAGGAAACTACAATAAAGTATCTGTTGTGGCTAAACTGTGGATCCCAAGAGCGAGGCTGTGCATGAAAGCTACTGGCCAGAAAACAGGAACCTTTTCCTGTTGAGCATGTTACAGAAACATTTAAATTCAAGTATTTCCTATAAGTAGAGAATAATCTCAGTAGATTGTGTATGAAAATTAAAATCTTTAACAGTGGGAAAAATCAAGGGCTGGGGAGATGACACAGTTATTAAAATACTTGCCCTGTACTCAGGAGAACCCAAGTTCAATTTCATACCCACATAAAAACCTGGCATGGCGGTACATGATTGATTGTAATCCCAGTACCAGGGAGGTGGAGACAGGTAGATCTAACTCCCCAACTCTGCCTAGTCAACAGTTCCAAGTACCAGTGAGAGACCCCATCTCAAAAACAAGGTAAAAGGCTCCTGAGGAAAAACACGGTTTAACTCTGGCTTCTACACACACAAGCATACATGCACCCACACAGAAGTTTAAAAACTCAGTTGATAGACTGGAATGTTATAATTTTGAGTTTAGAATGTGAAAACTAAAGAAAAAACAAACTGAATGTAAGAACAGTAATAGAACTAAACCATTTTGTTTTTAATATTCATGTTTGCTATCTTCTTGCTCCAGGTGATGTTGAACAAGAACTTGGACCACCTCCATCTGTAGATGAGGCAGCAAACACACTCATGACTCGTCTGGGTTTCCTCCTTGGAGAGAAAGTAACAGAAGTACAACCAGGTGACCAATACAGCATGGAGGTACAGGATGAAAATCAGGTAAGCTATGCAGTATCAACTTGGTGATACAATGGGAATCATCATTTTATAGCAGGAAAGAAAGATGGTATTGTGTGTGGGTATGTACTCATTCTGAAAGGAATAAAATTAATTGTTAGAATTCATTTTGAGGCCTAGAATATAATTTAATTTTTCATACTCACTGTTTTTTGTTTGTATTTTATATGTGTAAAAAAACAAAAAAAAATGATTAAATAACAAGCTACCTAGATGACAGAACTGAGGGATTAACACTGCACTGAAAAAATTAGAGTATACACAATTCCAAGTATGTGTGGATTATTGACAGACTAATGAACTGCTGAGCCTAGAACAGATCTTAGCCAGTTTCAAAAATTACCAATTATTTTTACTACAGTAGAATTGATTTTAAAATAACTTATAAAATGACAGCTAAAAGTTAAACATACCCAATTCTAAATTATTAAATAATATGCTTCTCAACAGCCTTTGAATCTGGGAAATAAAAAAAAAAATTAAATTGTTACAATGAAAACTAATTAAGTTATAGGATATAGCTCAAGGTAACTGTAGGCTGAAATGAACACTTTCTTTCCCAAGTTGCTTTTAGTCATGGTCTTTATCAGTAATAGAAAGAAACATAAATAACTTAGTGCCTTATAGTGAAATATTGTACTATGGCCTAGAGAGATGGCTTGACCTACTACTCCTGTGTTGGGAACCAAACCTGGGAATGTTATAAAACATTGTGCTTGCTAGACAAGTGCTTTACCACTGAGCTAACTTCTAAATACTCATCATTTTTTGATATTTATGTCGAGTTAGCAAGTGACTGTCCTAATAATGACCACTGTCATGATACCCCTCCCCCTTCTTATACTCAAGTACTTTTTTGTGTACAAAATTACATTTCTTCAAAGATGATAAAATTACTCATCTTGCTTTTGAGATTCTTTATGTCACTGTGACTTCAAATCAACTCACAAATATGTAGACTGTGCCTTACTTTTAAATATACTTGTAAGACAATGTCTCTAAATAAAACTGTAAAGCGTGAGGCTGGGGAATAGCTTGTGGTAGAGTGCTTGCTCAGCAAATAAAGGAGCCTAGGTTAATTTTTTATCTCCCCCACCAAGAAAGAAAGAAAGAAAGAAAGAAAGAAAAGGATACAAAATAACAGGCTTATTCTGATGATAATACTTTGTAACCTGAAAGTGCCATAGAAGTAAAAAGTATACATGCGAGATAATTAGTATGTAAAATATGCAATACTATGGTTTAGGGAAATTATTTCATTGCCTTCATATTTTGATAATTTCATTTTTATATTTATTATTATTACATTTATTTATTTGTGGATGTATGGCAGTATACCATGGCATGTGTGTGGAGGTCAGAGGACAGCTTGTGGGAGTCAGTGTTTCCTTTTTGTATATGGGTTCCGGGAACAAACTCTGGTTATCAGTCTTGGCAGCAAGAGGCTTTACTTGCCGACTAACTGCCTGTTTTCACATTTCTTTCTTTTCTTAGTAAGTGCATATGGATGGTTTAGCTACATGTAAGAAATAAATGAAAATGCATAAATATACATAAAAATATAAAAAATAATGATGACAATCATAGCTTCTTGGAATATAACATTTTTAACGTCTGGGAACCACACAAAAAGTGACTCTATTGACCACTGGAATTTGTAGTCTAGGAAGATTATTAAGAACTAAGAGGACATGATGTTTGATAACTTTCATCTTCACTAAATGCATAATAAAGATGGACGGTTATATTCAGGAAGACCCTATAGTGAAGATGTCCCAGACTAGTACTATGGTGACAGAATGTAACAGAAGTTAGTGTAGACCCTTTTTCTGTAAAAGAACAATTACTGAAAGAATATTTATCTAATAACTTTTTTCTTATCTCAGCAGCTCCTAAGGTATTAGGATGAATCTTAGGAGTTCCATCTTCAGTTTGCCTGCATTTTTAACTATTATGAGTGTGCAAATGTATGAGTATACATGCTATTCATATATGTAAAAGCACATTGTAAAGGAGCCATGTGCAGTGGTGAATGTATAGGAAAGTCAGAGGACAACTTTCTCATGTAGGTTCCAGGGATCAGAGTAAGGGTGTCAGGCTTGCATAGCATGGGCTTTAATCCACTGTGCCATCTTGTCAGCCACTTACTGTGTCTATGTGGAACCTTTTAAAAGATCCAGATTGTGAGTTTCATTTTTCTCCCAGTGGAGAATGTTAAGGACAATTGGAAAACTGCTAAAAGCTTGTAGAATTGGAATAACTTAATTAGATATCCATTTTGGCCTGCAGAATGGAAAATAATATCTGTGTCTTGTTCACTACCCTCCATATATAAATATAAGGGCTGTCTTTGAATTCCTAAGCCTTGAACAGTTTTTGAGTTTCTAAACACCTTATGGCTTTTGCTTTTACATTCAAGACCTTGAAAAAGCATGTTTTCTATGACACTTGCTTTATTTTGCAGAAAATATTGTAATAATCATTTGTTTGGGGTTAACATTCACATAGATTATGTTATGTATATGATGTACTGTCTGTTGACAACGCCCAGAATGGAAATCTTGTCTACAAAGAGAAATAGGTTGTTAACCATGGATTCATCCCCAAATAAAACTTTCAGTGCATGACAGGTATAGATATATCTAATACAAAGCACCCAAGTGCACTTAATTTCATTAGCCCACAAGCTACACAAACTGAGTACAGGAAGGGTAAAAGTATCCTTATTATGGTTGGGGCCAGGCCAGTTCCCTTACCACTTACTACAGTGGTTAGAGTGAACTATGTCACCAAGGAGGCTTCCTGGCTGAAAGATGGAAGGTAGCAGGGGCAGAAGAGTGAAATCTCCTTCCTTTCACTTCTCAGTTTGTACCAAGGCCAAGATCCTCTTACCCTAAGTGGCTGGGAATGTTCCTTTCTTCCACTGTGCCATAGCCCTTAGTGTTGTGTTTGTGAACCATCCTACATGTAAGGAAATTAAATACCTGGCTCTTAAAAAAAAAGTATGTTGAAAATTTAAGTTGAGGTGGGATAGGGCTCAATACTTGTTGGTTTTTCTTGGCGCTTGTCTGTGTTTTCATGTGTCCTATAAGTGACTCTGATGCATGCCCACTTAAAAGCCATTACTCCAGTCATCACTAGTATTTTATAAAAGTCAAAAGTTACAAAGAAATTGAAACTCCTTTTTTCTCTGGAGAAATACTATATAGTAGAAGAATTTTGTCTCATAAATTTTGAGGGCTTACTTCATTGTAAGGAAAAATCAATTCTTTGTATTACTAACATGATTAAAAGGATTTATTCAGTTACAACGAAATCAGACTGTTACTTTTAAGTCAGATGTATCTTTTACAACCATGTATAGTACAGAAATTAAAATCCAACACAGATTGAGCATAGATAATTAAACATAAGGGATTTTATCCAGAAATCCTTATCGAATTAGTTGAAGACTGTTAATATTCTTAGCTAATAATCAACACATTCTCAAGTTATTAAATGTAGAATCTCTGTTTCAGCAGAGAGACTATTGAAGGAGACTATAAGTAACGAAATTGAAAGTCATCCTCTCAGAGACAGGGGTGGGAAGGGGAGGAAGAATGGGATGAATAACTGTGTGAGGGGGACCAGGAGGAGGCCTGAATTGTAAATAAATTTTTTAAAATTTAATATTTAAACATGCTAAATTTATCATTAGTGCTTCTTCAAGTAATTTTTGTGTTTGATAAAATTACTTTAGTAACTGACAAAAAAGTACCTTTACTCACTATATCAGTAATTAATTTGGGCAGAAAGAGCTGAAGAAAAAAAATAGATCTCTGATTAGTTAGACAAACCAGAATATATTATCACCAACCCTTTTTGGTAATTTTTTTCCTTATTTAAAAACTTTACCAGGAAAAGCTGGGTATAACAGTGCACTCATGTAATAGAAGAATCAGGGAGGCCAAGGCAGAGGCAAGAGGACAGCAGTTCAGGGTCATCTTCCTTTATAGGTGGAGTTCAATCCCTATCTAATAGGAAACTTAGAAAGGTGGTCATCTCGGGCATAAGAATTATTCAAGATATAAGTTTATCTTTACATATAATCACTTTTTATAAGATATTCTTTTTGAGCTAAATAAACATTGTTTACTATGTCATTTAGAAGAACCTATAGAATAGGTATTTTGATCTACATTCATGGTCTATGTATCAAAAAGGCCTTTTTTTCATTAAGAACTTTTTTATTTCTTCTCAACTGCAAAGGTATTCTTTTTTCTAGCCAAAGGCTTTTAACAAGACAAAGTTCCAAGTCTTCCGAAGAGTTTCATTAATTGGAAATAACACTTTTTGCTTAAAACAAAATTTTGTTAGTGATGGGAAATGTAAAGTCACTGGTAATTTTTTAAGCAGAAAATGTAGCCACAGGTCTCATTCTTGTTAAGTTTTAACTTCAGTGTAGAATATGGGGCCTTGAATCCTGGAAAGCAAAACAAAGCCAGTGTAACAGTTGTGAAGGCCACATAGTGATTATTTGTTGATTTTTTTTTTAAATCAAATTACTATTTGGCCTTGAAATACATTTAACAGTGATCAGTTTATCTTATTTTGTACTGACTTTATTTTTAGACTTCAGCAATCACCCAGCGAATAAGTCCCTGTTCCACCTTGACTAGCAGCACTGCCTCTCCACCAGCCAGCAGCCCCTGCTCTACACTCCCACCAGTCAGTGCAAATGCAGCTGCCAAGGACTGTAGCTATGGGGCTGTCACCAGCCCAACCTCCACCCTAGAAAGCAGAGACAGCGGCATCATTGGTAAGCTTCTTTTTATAATAATCATCTTGTATATTTTATTCCTTTTTAAAATAATTATACAAATGTAAGATTTTCAGAGTTATATTTTGAGATATATATGTCCATTTTTAAAATGCTAAAGTGATAACGGTCAACAAAATGAGAAACATTTGTTTCTATTTAATCACATTTTTTCAGGCCTTACTTGAGAAGATATAAAACATCCTATACACTGGTTTCTGCAAGTTCCTATATTTCATCCCTACCAACAGTGGTTGTCCAGAAAAGTTAATTCTTTATTAGTATAGTAGATTATTGTGAAACAGAGAACAGAGATTAAGATTGAATGGCTGAAGATCTATAATGTGAGTTGACTTGGGATCTGCTTGGTTCAAGTGTCCATCAGTCGTGTGATGAGGTTTGGAAGCCCCTTCTGACCTGGTTTTTCTTATCAACAAGATATCCTGCTTTCTGCCCTTAATAAAGTAGAATAAGTTTTTAATGTTGCTTATAATTCTGGAACTGTAGACCAGTGTGTTCTTGTGACAAGAAAAGAATCCCATGTGCTGTGTATTACTGTGAAGATGTGGAGCTTAGCCTAGGTCCAGTAGTCACTGAGTTGCACCGACAGGGTGGTTTACAGACAGTGGGAACTGAGAGGAACTCTAGCAGGCTGCAGCTATAACTCAGCACATACCCAGAGAATTACTGTAGTGGAGCGCCCAGGAAGATGCCCTGCCAAGTCTTTGACCTTTGTTTTTCTTATTAACATATTTAAATACTATTTTTGCTTTATATTTTAAAATCTTTTTTATCTTTATTTTACTTTTATTTTTGTAAGTACATTTTTATTTCTTGCATTAATCCTCCTTTCTTTAAGCTCCTTTCTTTTTTCTTCTTGCCTCCTCTTTTATATTATTATTTTGTTTTATTACATTTTTAATTCATAATTTATGCTACATTATTTATGGTCATTCATGGTATAGTAGTTGTCTTTAATTTATTTTTTAAATTTTTTTTCCATCTCTGATTTGTTTGGATGGTGCTGCATTGTAGCAGTCTGTTTTGCCCTCTTAGTGGTTTTGGGTCCTCAAGCAAAAGATGCTCACTAAGAAGACCCCAGACCAAGATCAAAAGAATATTTATGCAAATCGGGGAAACAAAAAACAGAGAAATCTGAAAAGGAAAGGCAACCTCACTCCTGAAGTTTGTAACCCTTTAAAAATGGAATCTAAGGATATTTCAGCGGTTAAAATGCCAAAGTAAGAAGTCTCATTTTAAAAATAATAACCTCAAAGAAGATTAAAAGAAACAAAGAAATGGGTAGGAAGATGGGAAGCCATGCAGATAGGAGCTTGGCATGGCTATCCTCTGAGAGACTCTATGAGCACCTGACTGAGACAGATGCAGATACTTGCAGCCAACCATCTCGGATTGAGCCCAGAAACCCATATGGAAGCGTTAAGGGAAGGACTGAGAAACTAAAGAGGATTGCAACCCCGTAGGAAGAACAGTATCAACTAACCGGACCTCTCAGAGCTCCCAGGAACTAAGCTACCAACCAAGGAGTGTACATAGCTAAATCCTGCCCACCCCCTACACCCCACATATGTAACTGAAGACTGCCTGGTCTGGCCTCAGTTGTAGCAAATGCACTTGGTCCTGTGTAGGCTTGATGTCCCAGAGAAAGGATATTAAAAACTAGTGAGGTGGGAGTGGGTGGATGGGTGGGGGAACACACTCGTAGAGGCAAAGGGGAATGGGGATGGGGTTGGTAGCTCGTGGAGGAGAGACTGGGAAGGGGGACAGTATTTGAAATATAAATAAATAAAATAATTAATAAAAAATTTAACACATTAAAAAAAAAAGAAACAAAGAAATGAAATAAAGTCAACTGAAGACTAGGACAACAGACTCGCTAAGTGGAAATATTAGCAAAAAGATTTTGAAGGGAGAGTGGAAAAATAAACAACAAATCAGAATGTTGGAAATAAAATTCAGTAAGTCAAATAGGACTGAAGAGATGGCTCAGTTAGCAAAGTGCTTACAAGGATCACCTGTGTTTGGTTAAGAGAATTCACATTTTACAAACAAAAGCAGGCTTGATGTCATGTGCATGTAATCTCAATGCTGGGAAAGCAGAGATGATGGGATCCCTGGTATTTCCTTGGCTTGCCAGCCTAGCCTACTTGGTAATTTCCAGGCCAATAAGAGACCTATCTCCATCCCTCACACACAAAAGTTATGGCTGAGAAGATGGGTAAAGTACCAGGTCTCTAGCACCAGTACACATAAATAATCCAGCTCTGACCAAAGTGGGAGATCCCAAGGACTTGCTAGCAAGCCAATTTAGATGAAGTGGGAATTCCACATTCAGTAAGAGAATGTACCTCAAAAAAATAAGAATAAAACTTGATTCCTTTTTCTCACACCATAAATCAAAGATCAGTGCCCTTAATATGAGGCCTGAAATTTTGGAACTAATTAGAAAAAAACATGAGGAAAATAGATTGAGAATGTATGTAAGTGTAGTGTAACCACTATGAATATACATAAAGATCCACCTCCAAAAAACACCTGTTATATGTCTTCTGTATCTCTCGCGGATATACAACTAAACAAGTCTCAGTCAGCATACAACAGAGATTCTCCATATCCTATACTAGTCACAGTAGCCAAGTGAGGCTGCGAGTCAGTGACTAGCAACAGATGAATAAAGAAAAGATGGTGCCTGTATACACCAGAGTTTTACACAGCTATACAGAAAAATGAAATGCTGTCATTTACAGTAAAATAAGGATTTAGAGATTAGCATATTAAATGAAATACACTAAGACTAATATTTTTCTCAAATATTAAATCTAGATTTTTGTTTCAAGAATACATGAAATTACTGGACATGGTGATGCAGGTCTTTAATTCTAGTACTCAGGAGGCAGTCAGACCTGTAAGTTCAAGGATAGCATGCTTAACATGGTGAGTTCCAGGACAGCCAGAGCTACACAGAGAAACCCTGTCTCAAAAACACAAAGCAAAACAAAATCCCCAAACCATGAAGTTAGAGTGAAGACTGCCTAAGAAGCAGAAAGAGGCCCATTGGGAGAAGACATGGAGGACAAGAAAAGGAAGAAAGTATGGTGAGCTGTGGTTTTTGAAATGCATTTTCTTTAATAATTGGGTTATTAAGAATATTTTAACAAATACTCTGAAATGTGTTCTGTTCTGATAAGAACATAATGTAAAGCTGTTTATTCTGAAAAGATAGTGTCTACTTACTAAAGAATGTTGGGCTTTATTCCTAAATGTAAGTGGGTTTCTGTGTATTTCTTTTTTGCCTGACGACCAAACAATGAAAGTGTCGCAGTCTGGAGCCAGCATTACATAGAATAAAGAGAAAATATAAAATACAGACAATAACAGAGGTGGATGCTCGCAGCTAACCATTGAACTGAACACAGGGTCCCCAATGGAGGAGGTAGAGAGAAGACTGAAGGAGCTGAAGGGGCTTTTGGCCCCATGGGGAGAGTGACAATACCAACCAACCAGAGCTGCCAGTGTCTAAACCACCAGCCTGGGAACACACATGGAGGGATCAATGACTCTAGCTGGATATGTAGTGGAGGACAGCCTTGTTGGGCACAGGTGGGAGAGGAGGTCCTTGCTCCTGTGAAGGCTGGATGTCCCAGTGTGGGGGAATTCTAGGGTGGGGAGGTGGGAGTTGGTGGGGAGGTGGGGGCACACCCTCATAGAAGCAGGAGGAGGGGGGATGGGATAGGGGGTTTCTGGTGGAGGGAAATGAGGAAAGGGGATGACATCTAAAATGTAAATAAATAAAATATCCAAAAAAAAAATACAGACAATAAGAGAGACATCACCTTGGAGCAGCCATGATGCACAAAGGCCCGGACAACAGCCCCTGCAAGACTCCAGACTTAGAACAACCAATGGGAATCTTCAAAGAGCTATGTCTCTGCAGGTTCACACTAAGAGGTCATTGCCAAATTTTAAATGAAGTGAGTTTTCTATTGAGTAATGTGCTTTCACGATTCCTTCACTGATAGTGCAGACTGCAGATTGCAGTGTCCTGCAGCACCACCAAGACCTGATTCTGATGCAAAAGCTTAGAAAACAGTAACTGACAGAGAAAGAATTCACAGAAATGAAAGCAGAGCTGGAAGCTACATATTTTGCAATATTCAAGAAGACATTTGCACATTTACAATACATAATATGTCCCTGTGTCGTGTTCCAGTACATCCTATTTTAAGAAAAGATTTAAATTTCTATATCGTCTCTCACTCTTTTTTTTTTTTGAGTGTGTGAGGGGAAAAAGAAAAATGAGAATTTCTTTAAAAATATGATTAAGTCAGAAGATAGAGTAATTGCTTCAGAATTGATTCCTTTGAGCACCAGTAAACATTCCTTTTAGTCTGTCAGAACTGAGTTGGGGGTGCATCTGTCAAAACCAGATGAAAGGATGCTGCAGATCATCCTCAAGATGAAGACTGCTGCTGATTACAGTAGGATTGGTTCTTAGGAGTGTGCTTTAGGAACTCAGGGTTCTACAGATGTATGAAAATGAGAATTATAATTTAAATATAAGTAAAAGGAGAAAAATTTTAGCAGCATGTAAAACAAAATACTTGTACTATAGGCAACTTTTTATATATTTTTGTCCAAATATTGATAATAAACTTTTATAGGAAAAAAAGTAAACAAGCACTAAATGTCTAAAAATCCCAGCATTCAGAAGGGTGAGGCAGAAAGATTGCAAGGTCCAGGCCAGCAAGGGCTGCACAGCAAGACTGTTGCAAGGAGGCTGGGGGAATGAAGAAAAATTAAAAGTTATGCAGACTATAAATAATCTTAAAGTTTTTAAACTTTAAATGTTTAGTTATTCATATTTCTATGTGTATACATGTGTGATTGGGGGCAGAATGTGATGTCATAGTGCACATGTGAAAGTCAGAGAACATTTGTGAAATCAGTTTTCTACGTCCACCGTTATGTGGATTCCAGGG